GAGTGCAGGTGGAGAATCATGGGACTTCAGGATCGAGCAAGAAGTCGAAAGAACGGCACCTGCGAAAGCGAGAGCCGATCAGAGAGGAGGAAGAGAACGGAAGCTCAGATGACGAACCGAGAGGGAGACGGGAGGAGAAGGATAGAGGGGATGGAGAAGGGGGGAGGGTAAGCAAGGAAAGAGAAAGAGGGAAGCATCGGAGTAGCAAGAACGGGGAGGGTGGCGAGAAGGAGAGGAGCAGCAGGAAAGACGAAGAGCGATGGCGCGAAAGGAAAGTAGAGAAAGAGCGGGACAGGGATCGGGAGAGGGAAAGGGAGCGCGATCGAGAGAAAGACAGAGGAGAGCGCGATAGGGAGAGGGAGAGAGACAGGAGAGAAAAGGATAAGGATAGGGAAAGAGACAGGGATAGAGAGAGAGAGAAGCGTGAGCGATTGCGCGACAAGCATGGGGAAGATTGGGACAGAGAAAGGGACCGGGATCGGGAGAGGGAGAAGGAGAAGAAGAGGGAGAGAGAAAAAGAGAGGGAGAAGGAGAGGGAGAGGGAAAAGGAGAGGGAGAAGGAAAAGGAGAGGGAAAGGGAGAAGGAGAGGGAGAGGGAGAAGGAGAGGGAGAGGGAGAGGGAGAGGGAAAAAGAGAGGGAGAGGGAAAAGGAGAGGGAGAGGGAAAAGGAAAGGGAAAGGGAGAGAGAAAAGGAGAGGGAGAGAGAAAAGGAAAGGGAAAGGGAGAGGGAGAAGGAGAGGGAGAGAGAAAAAGAGAGGGAGAGGGAGAAGGAGAAGGTGAGGGAGCGGGAGAAAGAGAAGGAGAGGAAAGGCCGTGAGAAGAGGGAAAGGGAGGATGAAGAGGAAAGGGAGAGAGAGCGCGACAAGAGACAGAGAAAAGAGAGCGATGGCGTGCCAGAAAAGAAGGCGGACGCGGCAAAGAAAGGTGGAGGGGGAGAGAAGGTGGAGGGTGAGAGAGACGAGCAGGCCAAATTGGATGACGAGATGGAAAAGCGGCGCCGACGAGTAATGGAATGGCAGGAACTAAGGAGGAAGAAGGAGGAGGAAGAGCTGAAGAAGAAGGAGGGCGAGCAGATAGCAGAACAGCCGAGACCACCAGTGAAGGCTAAGCAGTGGACGTTAGATGGGGACGATTCGGACGACGAAGGGGGTGGGGGGGGGGGGGGGG